TTGAAAGATTTTATAAAATAAATTTGACTCGACTCGACTCGAAAAAAGAGAGTCGAATAGAGTTGATCTTTAAACTCAACTCAACTCGACTCATTCGGAACTCTAATTTGGAGTTATAATTGTAAGATTCTTTGTATATTAGCTATGACACGTCTGGCATTATTGAGTTTGGTCATATTATTTTCAAGGTTAGTTTTGAGGAGGGTGTTTTCATCTCTCAAGGTTATTAGTTCAGCAGATTGTTTAGCAACTATATTATCTTTTATATATGGATCAGCTACATAGGTATGTTCTTTAGTTTCCATACCATCTTCATTGAAAGATTTGTTTAGTAACTCTGCTTGGTGAGGGAGTAGGACGTTGATATTAAGAACTTTTTCAACTGTAACAACTCGATTCGCAGTCGAGCGGAGATCTGACTCCATTTTGGCAAACTGCTTAGAGATAGCAATCAGTTGATTGGAAATTTGAACGAGCATTTCTGGTTGGGATGGTTGGTTTGAGGTAACATTTGGCAAACAAAATTCGTCTAAAGTTTCATCAGCCAAGCGATGTGATACATGTATACTAGTATCTAATGTTTATTCTTCTTTATTATTGATGGGGCGGATTAGGGTAATACGTTGTTGGTATCGATCTTCATTTGGTGATTTGATTTGAGAAACGTTTGTTTGATGATTGAGCAGAGCGATAATGTTGCTAGATTTAGGTTTATCTTTGGTATTGTTTTGTTGTTGGCTCAGTTTATGTCTGTCTGTAGTTTGCTGATTTTTTGGGTAGGGTGGTGGTTTGGGCACAACGACAGGTGCCTTGTAATTATAAAATTGGGCAGATTGGTAGCGTTGGTATAAGTGTTGAGTTTGTCAGTCTTGTAGAGCTGAACGATTTTTACGATAATTCTGCGATTGGTAACTTGGGACTTGACAGTTGAAATAGAGTTTTATATTAGGATCAGTCCAGATTAATCGTTTCCTATCAAGGAAATACGTTTCTCCATTTTTTGCTGCTTCCATAGATTCTT